CGAGCGAGGTTTGAACCACGATTTATCGGCACGCAGTTTTTGGTAGTATAAGTCGCGGTTGGAGAGCATATCTTCGTCGTCCGGGAAGAACAGCAAATAAGTACCGACGGCTTCACAAGCCATCCGAAGGTTACCACCTGAAATCAACGTTAAAAGTGGCTCAAGAAATGACAGGATAAATGCACTTACTTCTCCAGTAGGATATCTGCAGATAGTTGAACATGGACGGGAAAAGAGCGGGATCATGCTTTCCTTCGTAGTGGCTTAGGCGGTACGTGCAGTTACTCTGACAGCGCAATACTTCGAGGAAGCATTCTACCGATACAAACAACGATACTGTCAATCAATGATATCAAAGTCTGTAGTCTCTAGCGACGTTTAACAAATTTACATAATTTTACGACGAGCTGGACAATGGCCAACCTAATTAACATAGTCACGAATTTGTTCTCGCCCTCACCTGCAATACGCAAACTGTTATAGTTACTGTGCGACGCATAGTGACACCTATCGCAGAGTCGCATACAGTCTTGCGCGCTGCGTAGGAATGATTCTACTCCTTGCTCAAAGAGTTCAACAGCGCTGATGAAGTCCTCATTTTCATAGCTGGTCACCCCATCAGAATAGTACTGCTGAAAATGAATAAAATTTTAAGAACATCAAAGTGACCTTACAATGCAGTAGCAGTAGCAACTTACTTCATAGTCGTGTTTCTCCAGGTCTTTCAGCAAAGTTGAAGAGAACTTTTCTTGCAGCGAGTAGAACTGCATATTGTCTACCATCATCTTGCTATCAGGATTTCGACGCAGGTAGGTGTATGCAGCAGAAACGGCATGTTCGAGGTCTCCAAGCTAAGCTAAAGTATGAGAGACCTAACCACGACTCGGCGCACATCTGACTTACTTGCCAATAGCAGAATTGCATATAGCTATAAGGTAGGTAGCTTTCGAACTCCACTTCTACCTGATTTCTCGTCCACGCTTGCTGCTGGAATGAAAAGCGTTCGTTTCGGCAGTGCAGCAAACACAATGATTTCTGAGCGACACCCAGAAAGAAGTGCCAGTCATGGAATGGCTCGCTACGATTGGTCATCGCATCGCTGGTTATAACGTGTCTACATTTTTTCTCGCAGTGCAGTAGTTCGCTTCGGTAGTACTTGTATTTTTCTAGTGCCCGTAAGAAGAACGACACACACTCGCGCCATCTACCTCCGGTATAAGCATCCTTACCGTACTGATAGAGCACGTCAAATGTCAGCGCCAGATCTTCCGGTTGTGCGGATACCAGTCCAGAAGATAACCACGGAATGATGACTCCGCAGCAAAACAACGTGAGGAAAGACGCTTGCATTTTAGACTTAAGCTCTAGACAACAATTATTCAACACTTGATCAAGACACACGGATTTGAAGTAATCGACGGAACAGCTCCAAATCAAATCAACGGCCGCGACCAAACCAATAAAGAAACAACAAAATTTTCAAATGATAAAATATTCGTCTACCAAAAATCAAAAGAATCTCGATCATCAGTTTCTAATGCCAAACTGGAAAGTAAAATATACTGGCGACTTTACGATAACGTCCATTTATCCTCACTGTTAGCGATAAGGTATCCAACGATAAACGAAGTACAATACAAAACAAGATATGAAATTAGTGGTTTTCGTAGGAAACCACTTCCTTAGTAAAATTAGACGATCTTCCCAATAGGGCCAAACAGCAACAAATATAAATATCAAGAAACATAAATATAAACCTAAACCTAAAATATGAAAGAAAAAAAAGAAACTCAGCATTCCGAATGTTCAAAATGGGATGGCCAAAGGGGCGTATTTACATCGATCAAATGATTTGAACTATCATATGGTGAGGTCAGATTCCTGTACTATCATAGGAGCACAAGAAATGATCCCCATGACTACGTTTTTCATTTGGTCACCGATCCAAAGTTACGTATCAGCATGATGAAAGAAAGAAAAATTTTTCTGCTGTAACTTGCCATTTATATTTTCTTCATCATCATTAATGAAATCACGTGTCAGTACATCAGCAAAGTTAGAAAATAACCGACAGTAAGGGTTTACAGCAAAGGAGATACCAGGCGGTCAAACGCTGTAAAATAATAGTCGTGCTGACAACGAACTGGAGTCAACATATCCGTTCCAGATTAGCACCCAAGAGTATCAACCGTTCTGTCTCATTCGAAGATGTAAAATTTTCTGTCTTTAAACTTGGCCCTCATTCTTCACGTCTTCCTTCTTATGTACGTAAATTGGTTATAAATATATATAACAATTACACCCGAATCTGTTTAATACCATGACGAAAAGAAGACGACATTTCTTTCAGCAGTGAATATCGCCTTGTGATACCTTGTCTACAAACCAAACATAAATCTGGGCTAGTTTGCTGGCCTTTGATGGCGATAACACAAGAACAACACGTGAATACCATGCTCAAGTTGTCGCTATTGTTTTCGAATGTGACATTTTACCAGTTATTCGTTTTTCAGACATTATTAATCTGGGCACTCTGTCTTTGACCATAATACCCCAGATAACGATGACAATAACAGCAACCCCATTTTCTCGGCTGATTGCACTGAACTATTCAAAAGAGTATGCGGTTAATACAAGGATCTACCTACCGTAGATTCCAATCCCGCATCTTTGGAGTTTGAAACCAAATTCTTTACCTTTGTGTCCCGCATTCCTTGCACAACACCATCACCAGCTGGCTTACATGAACATGACTGAGAATGGAAAATCCCGTAGAAAAATCGGCATGTTCCAGAAATGTAGGAATTTCTTCCGAAAACGATGTGGGTGCAGACTGTAACCGTAACTTTCTTGATATCTTCCACACTTTGGGCGGCAGTTTTGTCTGATAAACAGAGTTTGCTGAACAGACAGAATTTGACAGGAGCTCTGAAAAACAGAATTGTTGCCCCAATTTTAAGATGCTCTAGTGTTACATCGTCCTTAGTTGAACATCTGCCATTTCTGAGCTTTCTGATCGCTCATTCAACTTCGAGAACGGTTTAACAGGCAGCGCGTAGCAACTTCGGATTTACGGCCCATTCTCAACTCCTTCGTCTTTCACCGCACCGGAGATGCGCTATTTTAAGCGAATATAATATCTTGTTCCACACATTTCAGGCATTTTTCTTCTGCGTAGCTTCTCTTACCCGTATTCTTTAACCTTTGCAGATTTCTACTGCTTCTCCCTTATATCTCTGCCCCATGCAAAGTACAGGTAGTTCATTTTCTCATCGATTTTCAGTTGGACGGTTAAGGCCATTAGGTGTCTTCTTGCGCTGATTTCTCTTCGACTGCTGATCGGCCCAAAATTCGGTAGCAGCAATTATGCCATACTCAAAGTGATCATAATCAGCATCTATGCCAGCGACTATATCTATTTTTAGGTTGATTCGATGTAATAACTTAGATTATTTTTGTTCTTCTTTTTGCCCAGTCGGCTCACGTGAAAACCGACTTAAAACACTTTGAATATTTTACTCTGTGCTGCCGCCGAATGCTTCATCTGCGGAAGTCAACCCTGACAATCCTGAAGAAGGCTCATAAAAGACGAGCCGAAACGTCCGTCAGTATCGCTCAATCGCTCGATTGACCAACTTATCTGCTGATGCAATGCATAAATAAACAGTTTTTATCACTTTTGACAGCTAATTACAGAAGAATTTCAGAAATAGCATTTCTGTCACATGTCATAATTCATTGCTGAGCTGATATCCAAGCATTAATAACCTTCAAACACGCAGAACTCTGTCTAATACAACTTAAAATGAGAGAAAGCCGATACCTTTTCTGAAAAATAGGTTCGAACTCTTGACCTCTGAAACGTAATGTTGTGTGAGGCTGCAACTGGCATGTTTTCAATCCGCCTCCTGCCCAATCAAAATTACAGATGAACAACTCTTGCGGAATTCTCGTCGATTAGATCACTTACCGCTTCTAGAGAGACAGCCAACTGTATCACAGCAAAAACTAAATTACAGTAATGGTAAAACCTGCATTCCAGTAAATTTTTAGCAAGTGAATTCTGCTTATTCTACCTCGTTGCAATAATTTCTGTTCTTTATTTTTCCCCTAAATATAAATATACAATTTTCTACTAATGCTTGATTAATACATATACAATAATTTGCTAACAAGATTAACCATGCAATTTATTCATTAATATTCAGTAGCTTTCATTCCGTTCCGGTCGACGAGGCAGCTCTTATGCGTTTCCAGTGTTTTTTTCTGGAAAACGTTCGAGGCCTGACGAATTTCATGCACAATTATGACATATATTTTGTATAATCGGTCCATCTGTTCTTCCAACTGCTCTCTGCGGTCTGCCCTATGATTATGTCAAAGGAGTTTGCTTTGCGATTCTCATCACAACTGTGACCGCACTATACGAACGGGTAGTATCTTGCGATTGGAAAGATTTTGGACGAGTTTTAAATCATTCTTTGAAGGAAGATCATTTCTGGAACATTATTGCAAACCGCAGCTGATGTGTACACATTAGCACCATCGCCAACGAGTCACCACCAGCTTTATATTAACAGAATCACGTGAATACTGGCTGAAGTACCGTTGCTACCCATCATCCGATCGATGCTTCGCGTGGCATGTAACTATCAGAGTGCAATTCAACGAAGCCTGTTCAAAGCAATAATGCTGTGGTTCCCGTTGGGTAAGCAACTAGAATGGAAATATCTTGTGGTAGGCATTAAATTTTTTTCGTTATAAGCGAAAAAATAATTTCTAAGGCTTATACGATTGCGTGTTGGGGATGACTAGAAAGTGGCTGTTCCTTAGAATCCATGGCTGGCAGCAGTAAAACGTGAAAAATTGCATTTGCAGAAATTTCAACAGTGCCAATCACAGTTTTA